AAAGGTATGTTCATAGGGACATTTCTTAAACCCTTCTTGAGCAAAGTAACCTTCTATCCTGCTATACCATGCACACTCTTGGTGCTTGCCTTAGCCCATATAAAGTTTTCCTTAACTTCTAGACCTTCTTCTCATGACCATCAGACTCGAAACCTTGTGGCTTCTCTATATAAACATCCTCATCCAACTTTCCGTGCAAAAATGCACTATTAACGTCCAACTGAAACACACTCCACCTTTTTCAGCAGCTAAGGAGAGAACCAACCTGATCGTGTCCCACCTTGCAACAGGCGCGGGAATCTCATGAAAATCTACTCCTTAAGTTTGGTGAAAACCCTTGGCCACCAATCTCGCTTTGAACTTTTCTACTTCTCCCTTCTCGTTGAATTTAGTTTTGAAGATCCATTTGATTCCTATCACTCTAGCTTCTCTTGGCAGTTCAACTAGCTCCCATGTATCATTATCATTAATTGATTCGATCTCCATTTCCATTGCATTCCTCCACTTCTCATGTCTTGCAGCTTCTTCAAACATCTCAGGATCATCATCGTTAATAAACATTGCGAGCATCTCTTCTCTGTCTTCTCTGATCACCATACTCAATCTCTCACACACATAATCTTTCATCCAAACCGGTTTCTGCACATTTCTTCCACCTTTGTTTTGACTTGAATCATCTTCATCAAGAGGTGTGTTGCTTCTAGGACTTGCTGAATTAGGATCATCTTCTGCTTCTTCTTGCTCTCCTGATGCAGCTTCTGATCTTGCATCTTGTGATACTTCTCTGTCAATAGTCTGAGTTCTTTGTTGTTCTCCTTCACTGATATATTCTAAGAACTTCTCTCCTTTTGTATTCTCATCCCAATTCCACAGGTTAGCTTCATCAAATGCCATGTCTCTACTGATTATGATTCTCTTCTTCTCAGGATCATATAAGCGATATGCTTTTGATTCTTGGCTAACTCTGAATAGTACACACCGAATGCTCTTCTCATCTAGCTTGGATCGCTTCTCATATGGAATCATGGCAAAGGCCGCACACCCAAATACTCTAAGGTTCTCCACCGTTGGTTTGCGTGAGCTCCACTTCTCTATTGGTGTAACATCTCCCAGCACTTGTGTCAAACTTCTGTTAAGGACATAGACCGCCTACTGCATTGCTTCAGGCTAGAATCTGAGAGACACTTTCATGCCAAATAGCATGCATCTCACCATGTTCATCACGGTTCTTTTCTTCCTCTCCGCTATGCCATTTTGTTGTGGTGTGTATGCGGCTGTGAGCTGTCTCTTTACACCCTTCTCTAGATAGTAGTCTTGAAATGATTTTGAATTGTATTATCCCCATCTATCAGTTCTGAGGCATATTTATATGTTGTGTTTTTGACATATTACACACATACTTTGCATATCATATTTGTGCTTTCCTGGAGTATTCTTAGTGTGTTTTGAGTTATTTCAGGTGTAGAACGAGTTGGAATGCACCAGAAGGAGCATATGGAAGAAATAATGCAAAAACCAGAGTTTTTCATCGCAGAGAACCTAAACGGAGCAACCCCATGCTTGCTCCTTCTATCGCGGAGCACCCATGCGGAGCAAACCTTGATTTGCTCCCGAAAAATTATGGAAACTTCTAATTAATTTCGGGATTTACCCTAATCTTTATTTTTTCTTCTCCCTGCCGCCTGTGACCTTGAGACATATTATATTCTATTTTTCCTAGACAGAGAACGCTTCTTTTGAGAGAAGAAACTTTAGAACCTTTGGATATTGTGATTTTGATACTTGTAAAGGGAGAAGATCATCTCTCTTGATTTAGAGAAGAATCCTCTTAACCCTATTATATTTTATCTGCAATAATATTCATGTCTTCTTCATCTCTTGACTCTGTGTTCTCTATTGTTATGGCTGAGTAGTCAATCTTGTTAGCCTAGGGTTCTAGGGTGTTGATCCATTGAACTGAACATAGATAAGCCCCATTCTCGCCTTTGCTCTCCACTGTTCTTACTGCTGATACTGATTTGATCACTTAGTATTTGATTCCAAGTTTAATCTTTTATCATTAACCCTGAATTAGGTTGCTAGATCTATTGAGAGCAAGCATCACATCCCTGATCAGCGAAAGTAGATATCAGGATGTGATGTGAGAATATTAGGTATGTGCTTAATGTTTGCTGTTGAGTAATGATCCACGCGAGAGCATAGGTACCATTGCTCCTCTGCGAAAGGAGCACACCTGCGAGAGTAGGGTGTTCTAGTTAAGAAATCTGAGCTCTAGGCTGCACTTAAAAAGCTTGAATAATTGTTTGGTTCAACATGGTTAACACCCAATAAGACACCCTAGGTTGACATCCTTATATCCTGAAATTAAAACCCAATTTAATTATTTTTTTCTCACGATTTGTTTCTTTACAACACTTAATCGTTTTAGCTTGAATTTGATCCTATAGAAATAAAGTGTAATATTTGGTCTCTGTGGATTCGATCCTAAAGTGCTACATCGACATACCATTCGATTGTGGTAGTGTGCACATTAGGTTAATTGGTGTGCGTTTGCACGTAATATCACATATCATCTGCTCACCAAGTTCCCTTTCAGCTGTTGTCTTGAATTCTTTAAACGACCTGAGAGCTTCTGACTTTTCTGTAAGAAAAAGCGTTCAACATTTTCTGTTGTAATCATCAATAAAGTTGATGAGATACCTTTTTCCACTCTCAGTTGTAGGAGATATGGGTCCACATATGTCGCTGTGAACTAGCTCTAGTCCTCGACTAGATCTCCACTCGCTTAGCTTTGGAATGTTGGCTCGTTTCTGCTTGCCTTTCATGCAGACTTCACACACCTCTACACCATCATCTATCTTCGGCAATCCTTTTACCATTCCCTTCCCAGCTAGCACCACCATATTCTTTGTGTTTAAGTGGCCGAACCTTCTGTGCCAAGTATCACCGGCTTTCTCAGTTGAGGTTTGCACTTGATTCATCTATGCCCCTTCTTTTGGTTTCTTCACGATGGCTGCTATGACAAACATCCGGTTTAAAGTCATTGTTGACTTCATGATCACCTTCTTTTGTTGCTTTGCCAGATCTCACATTCATATTTCTTTATGACAATTCTCAAACCCTTTTGATGTACCTGTCCAACACTCAGTAAATTGTTTCTCAGACCAGGTATGTAGTAGACAGAGCTGATCACTTGTGTAATGCTGTTGATCTCAAGCCTCAGGCTTCCTCGACTTTCTACTTGCATTCTACGATTATCTCCCAGCCTCACTTGCTGTCTGAATGTGCTATCAGAGTCTGTGAACCATTATCTAGCTCCACACATATGGTTACTGCAACCAGAGTCCAAGTACCATGTGTGTTGTGTCTCAACATCTACTCTTGCCATCAGTAGGATACAACATTGCTTCGACTTAGGATTGAGTTTCCCCTATCTCGACTGCCTCTTCCTCCTCTGTATCCTCCTCTCCCACGGTATCCACTCTGATCTCTACTATTTTCCATCTTCAATGCGTGTTCTTCTCCTTCATGTTTGCTTAGGTTTTGCTCATGTACCAGTAGAGAGCTCTGGAGTTCATCAACCTTAAGTTCCTTGATGTCCTTTGATTCTTCTATTGCACATACGATGTAGGTGAACTTCTCAACGAGAGTTCTCAAAATCTTTTCTACCACCTTAGCGTCTGGCATGTCTTCGCCCAAGTTCCTCATATCATTGGCACCACCATTACCCTTGAGAAATACTCTGTGATTGTATCACCATCTCTCATTTCAAGTACCTCAAAAGTTCCTTCTCAACCTCTGCAATTGTGCTCTTTGCACCCTCTTGTTGCCTTGACATTTGGTCTTCATACACTCACAAATGTCCTTCGAGGTTTCTTTCTTGGCTATTGTCTTCAAGATTTTTTTGTCGATTGCGGCATCTTAACTCTGCATGCTCCATATGTTGTACTTCAGTCAAGCTCACACTTCTTTCTGGTTGTGGGATACCCGTCTCTATCAACTCCCACCACTCCTTTGATCTCAACAAATTCTCCATGAGCATAGCCCAATGCTCATAGTCACCATCAAACTTTGGAATAGTTAACGATGACTCTCTTTCACTCATTCCCACTTTCACTCAAGAGCTTGTACCTTGATTAGATAACAGGCTCTGATACCACTTATTACTTGTAAAAAGACAAATGGTTTTCTGAATGTTTCGACTTGTTATTGAATGTAAAGCAATACAGAGTTTGAATAGAAAAACTAGCTTAACAAACTCCAAAATACTCTCAACGACTAACAACTACTTCCACAACAATAGGAGGTTTATTGACTACCAATAGATACTCCTAAAGACTCGGACTTCACCTAAGACTCGCTCCAATTATTTATTCTCCAATATCAGCTAACAACAACCTTGATTTAACTTTCTGAAAGATGTTAGCAGGAACAAGACCCTTGCGACTCGGCAGTCCTCCAGGATCAAGACCACAATTCCAAGTTATATTTTTCGTTCTCAATTTCATAAAATACTCGTATTAAAATCTGTAAATTCTACTTTAGCTACCAATAAAAAGAAACTCACGGGGTCATCGATCAACTATGAAACATTTGAGAAACTTCGAATTTGTGGTGTCTGGAAAACTTCACTGGTAGCGTTTATTTGAAAATTTGAAGGTTAGTGAAATTAAGTTTCTGGTCGTATCGGCAAACTATATAAATTTCCAATCAATACCACAGTTCAGACTACAATTAATTCATTAGAACAACACCACACAATTAACCAATGACAAAGTAATCAAAGACTGCGAGATGATAAAAAAAAAAGAGGAGCGTATTGCACTATCTATAAGAAAAAAAATTTGATTATACAATATAATGTAAACAGTATCACATAACAACACAATAAATAGTTCATTAATATTTAACAAAAAAACAAATGGGAAGAAGCATGCTTCATTATATAGACAAAAAACATTAATTTATTTTATAGGTAGATTTTGTGTAAGCACGTTCGACTATCGAGGGGATCTAAGTTCGTCGATATGAGATTTGCTACGTGGACCCTGCGTACGAATAAATTGACGGTATTGATCGTAGGTCGTGGAAGTGTAGAGAGCTGGTGAATCTACCGTCACTAGTTCCTTCAGTGGCTCGATCGGAGCATTACCCTTTGGGTTGTAGAAAAATGCCAATGACAACCTCTCGTTTGCAGGGTTCACGATCACTCTGTGCTCTATGCTTTTGTATACTGAATTGCTTAGCATCTAACCAGTAAGAAAATGTTCAACGTATGTTAATAATTATATCAATGCAAATAATTCGAGATATTGAATATACAACCTGCAACATAACCTCACGACCGCGTTGTTATCCTAAAAACAATACTCGGTTTGTTGTCACTTAATTTTTATATATATTTTTATCAACACCATTTCAGTTTATTGAGGTTGAACTTGAACTAAATGACAGAATAATGATATTGATACAAACGGTTATGAGATGGTCAGAGAGAGCATAGTTTATTTGAGCATTTGTTCTGTTTCTCAAATTCTAAAGAGTTAATATACAAATATATATATGTACCATATCTCTTTCAGTTTACTCATGGTTATAGAAGAGATTATAAGTCAAACTGAAAATTTTTTTATTAGAAAGGGCGTCAGGTCAAACTGAAACTTTCATGAATTCTTTTGAAAAGGAAGCAATTATACGAGGTAAAATACCCAAAACAAGGAAGAGAAAACAAAAACAAAAAAAACGGAGAATATTTTTGTTTGACTTGGTAGAACTGAAGTGTTGGTTTGAGCATGTTTGAACCACGTGAATAATGGAGTTTTTTTTTCCATTAATAGAGGCACATGTTGAATAAAATTGATGGGCGACATGATTTTACCAATCGTATCAACTTTATGTTACCCATTAACTTTAATTAAAAGAAAAAGACTGAAAAGAAGAAGTACAGAGATGCATGCACGTACTTTTATCAAAAGCTCAAAATTAACAAAGTTCAAGAGAAAAGGAAGACGAAATCCAAGTCTCCTCCACGTGATGTTTACTTTTATAGTTTTATTTGGTTCCTTATCATTTAGTAGTCCAATACTGAAAGATTGATTTAGGAAGCCGAATCTCCTCAAGACGAAAACGATCTTAAGATCATAAGAGCACCATTAACGCAATAGTTTAGAAGAGTGTTTAGTAATTTTCAAAAAAAAAAAAAAAAAAATAGACAAAAGAAGAAAGCATTGGTGTTTAATTAAGTTGTCCAAGTGCGTAATCACTTTTACAACTTAAATTATTATAAAACAAAAAAGAATAAACATCTGTAATTGAGTATTTTTTGGGTTTATGGTGCTCTAAGCATCAACTCTTGCCGTGATTTATGAATACTTAAAAAAAAATCATAAGCATTAACAATTCCTCAAATAAAATCATTCATCAAAGTAATAGTATAATAATAATAAAAAAATTAAAAATCTGAACGTTAATTACCAGAAAATTAAAAGAAAATTTTGGCATGATTTTTCAAGTTTTTAAAAATAATTTATTATAGTATATTAGTATTATTATTTTTGGTGAAATACAAGAAACGGAAGTAGGAATGAATGCCCTAATATTTAGCCATAAAAAAGGTAAAGAACAAAATAATCCAATTTTCAGTTCGATCAAACGATCCGGTTATATTATAATTAGTACTGAAACAAACATAATACTCACTTGAATTTGGTCACCAATGTTAACGATAAGAGCATGAGGAGCTGGTTCGACTGTGATCCAAGCATCGTCAGATCCACGAACCTGAAGACCTGCGACATGCTCGTCTGGTAATAGAATGGTCAATCCTCCGGGATCAGAGTGCGGAGAGAGCCCGAGAGTTAGCTCCGGCTGAGGGCATTTTGGGTAGTAATTAACCCTCAAACACCCTCCTGCTTCATCTTGACCACCAAACGCATTTTGAAGTCTATCCTCTTGTAATCCCAAGTTTCTTGATAATATCTTCATCAAGTTCTCGCACAACTTCACCATCTCCATGCAATATTCCTCTAACATGTCTCTAAATAATTTAAATTTTAATATAAACAAGTCGAAAATATTGTTGTTATCATTTACTTTTTGAGAATAAATATATATATATATATATATAATATAATATATATAGCTTGATCAACAACTAGTATTTTATTAAGAGATCACTTTTATTAACATGTTCTTGTCGTGAATTACAATAACCCACTGAACAGTACCGTAATAGTACGTCGGTTTTGTTTTATTAGGTAACTGTTTTATATAGCAAAGAGAATTTCAATGCTTAATAAAAGGCAAAGAGAACTTCGCAGACCGTTGAAGAAAGAAAAAGGTTTTTTTGTACCACTAAAGAAGAAGATAATTTCTTATAATAAAATGATAGGTTTGATGTAGCTCGAAATAACAGTAACTATGGATTATAAAATTATAAAACACGTATACGATTATAATGTTTTTTTTTTTTTTTTAATTTAACAAAACTGATAAAGCTTAGCAAACTTGAATAAGCCTATCAAATAATCCAAGAGCACCCTCACCAAGTGGTTTTAAATATATTTTAAATTTAGTCAAAACTATTTAAAATTGGAAAGAAAGTAAAAAATGAAGAATCCGTTCTTAGGGAAAACCCCAACAAAAAAAATGAAACATACCTATAGACACATGTCTTTGACTAATCTAGCATTTTTATCTTTTAAAAATTGAATTATTATCGTTATTATAATTGTGAGATACCTTCTGATGCTCTAACTAAGAAGTTTTTGAATAATATATACCGGCAATGAAGAGGCAGAGATGGCCACTTGGAGTAATCCTTCAAAGACAAAGGCTGATAATGAAGATAATAGTAGTCGCTCCAGTCAAGAATAGCACCCTTCTCTACGCCAAGTCGGCTTCCATATCCCTCATAAGTCTTTGGCGAATTAGCATGCATGTTTTTCAGTTCCATGGGAAGATGAAAGAACTCTCTCCATGTTTCTTTAGCTCGGTCCATGAGCTGCGGACTCATCCCATGGTTCACTACTTGAAAGAATCCCCATTCTCTACAAGCTTTTGAGATCTCCTCAAGCGTTTTGGCATGTAGAGTTATGTCGTTTGTGTTTAAGCCACTTAAGTCAATGATGGGTATGGTGGCGGTGTGAGGGTTGTGTTTGTTGTGGTGGTTTTGAGAGGGCAAGTTTGGACGTTGAGACAGAGGCTTGACGTAGCGGTTTGGTATGGCTTGAAGGTTGCTTTCGGATAGGGATTGGACACGGACAATAGGCTCAGGCCAGTCTTGGAATATGTTCATGGCTTTGGTTATTTTTAAGGGGCTCAAGGAGATGAAGGAGGAGGGTGAGGATGAAACAAGTAGTATTAAGAAGATATATATAGACAGGATGGATATATATATATATATATAGACAAAATGGAGAGAGCTAGAAGCATGCATAGTTAATGATTTTATAAAACTAAATTACTAATTAATATGCAGAAATCTATACTGTTATTTAAGAAGTGATTTTACTTATATATCATGTTTTAAATAATTTTTGCTGACTTATTACTATTATTAATAAATAATGTAAGATCAACGTAGGTTATCTTTGTGATCTTATATTATAGTTTAATAATAGTATAGATAATAGTAAGTGGTATTTACCTTAATCTATGTTATATCATAATAATATTAAGTGCTAATGTTAAAAAATTTATAATTAATGTAGACTCTATGTTAATATATATTTTAATATTCTATCTTAATAACCGACTCTATGTTAGTATATATATTATCATCACAAGTTTGTTCAATATACACGAAACCTATAAATTTCTTAGGAAAAAAAATTAGATTGCAAACAATGTCTTTCTGAAAGGAAGTATGTTTTTCTCTTGTTCTTATTGGAAATATTGTTCCAGCTAGAAATTGTTACAAGACTAAAGTTAAGATGTTGGTTGATGCTGTTGTAAATATAGTATTTTCTGTTATTGATTTGTATTGATTATACAATTTAGTTTTAATCACTTATTTGTAAAAAATACTTTTAAAGGACGAGGATTCATCTTTCTATATATTGATGAATGTTTTTAGTAGCTTTCAATCTAAATTATCTTAAGAAAATTCTTTTGTTCTAAGTGATTTCACCATTGGTGAGAATCTCACACAATATAGAACAAATCATTTGCCTTATAAGATTATTATTTATAAAACAACAAATTTCATGTTTGGTTTACCTTTATTATAGTAGTCTTTAAATTATAACATATCTATTAATAAGTAATATAACATTATTATATCCGCATATGTGAACAGACCACCTATCGATTATAATATTAGTAGAACGATTGAAAACACATTCTATCCAAACATCAAAAACGGTTGAAAAGGTAAATTTTATTAAAATTTCATGCTACCTATTTTTATTATTTTCTTAGCTAGGACCAAAGCAGACATTGGGTTTTGTAATTGAGAGATTAGCAATTTAAGTTGAAGTGCCCGGTTTTCAATTAAATCTCAACGAGTCAATGCTTAGACACATGCATAATAAGATACACCGACAAACGGTGAGATCTAAGGGATAGATGCCTAGCATGCAACAGCCTACCAATTTTTACAAGTACAGACAAATATAAAGTGTCTAGATGAGGCTGACTTTATAAAATTTGTCGATGCCAATTGTCGAGGGACATTTTCCGAATTTCCCACGTTTTATATCAGACTAATAAATAATGCGAAAAACTCCTTGTATTTAATCTATATATCTGGTGTAATACTTTTTTGTTAACAGTAAAAATTTCGGACCTTAAATCTATAGATTTATGATATCTTTTGGGGTTTGGAGTCAGTATTTATGTATCAGATTTAAAAGAAATAACTTCCAACCAAAGGTGATTTGAATATGAAAAACAAGGAAACCAACCATGTTACGTCCCCAAAAACATTTGCTTTTATGTTGCAGACCTGCAGTATATGTGAAATTAAAATAGAGATAATTGGCTAAAGTGCCCTATTTGGCACCTATAATTAGAGAATTGTCCATGATGTGACAATCACTTTCATTTGGACCATTTTGCCTTTTTCTACACCCTCTATCCTCTCTTTGAGATCTCCCCTCTTTTTTTCTTCTCTTCAATCCCTAATTATTTTAAAAATCTCTATCATTCTATATACAATTAAATTTTAAATTTCATTATTTTTTCATAAGTGGCTTTGAATCCTCAATTTTGACCTTTTTTTTCTCTCCAATCCCTAATTATTTTACAAATCTCTATCATTCTATATACAATTAAATTTTAAATTTCATTATTTTTTTCATAAGTGCCTTTGAATCCTCAATTTTTTGATGATATCAATTTTCTGGGTTTTAGATTCGACGTCGTGTTAGCGGTTAACAAATATTGTAGACGTTAACAGAAGTGTTAGGTGTTAACAATTATTTTTACGCTTCGCGTTAATAAATGTGTTCGCTGTTAACAAATATTGTAGACGTTAACAGAAGTGTTAACTGTTAACAATTATTTNATCAATTTTCTGGGTTTTAGATTCGACGTCGTGTTAGCGGTTAACAAATATTGTAGACGTTAACAGAAGTGTTAGGTGTTAACAATTATTTTTACGCTTCGCGTTAATAAATGTGTTCGCTGTTAACAAATATTGTAGACGTTAACAGAAGTGTTAACTGTTAACAATTATTTTTACGCTTCGCGGTAATAAATGTGTTAGCTGTTAACAAATATTGTAGACGTTAACAGAAGTGTTATATGTTAACAAATGTTTTTACGCTTCGTGTTAATGAGAGGAAAGAGAAAGGGCATTCTCGGCATTTCTTTGCCAAATGGTTGTGTCAGTGTCATTCATGTCCAATCAATGGTATTTTGCTAATTTAAACTTCAAATATGGGTAGTTCACTAAATCACTCATTAAAATATTTGGTTTTTGGGAAATTATCTAAAATACCACATTCCTAATACTATTTTTTATGTTTATACCAATCATTTTTATCTTCATTTTCAAATAGGAAAAAATACTTAGAATCATAGGATTAATTAATCTAAGACTTAAAATTTAGAGCTCAGGAGTGGGGTAAGTTTTAAAATGTAGAATTTAGAATTCTCATAAATATATAAATAAATACTTTTAAAAATTAAAAGTAGTTTCAAAAATAATTTTTGAATTTAGAAAATAAAAATTGAAAAAAGAATTTTGAAAAACAAAACTGAAAAAATAATTTATAAAAATAATTCAAATTTGAAAACATATTATTTGAAAAGTATAATTTTTTTCAATTTATTTTTTTTTATTTTTATTTTATTTATTTAATTAATATTCTCTTCGTTTCAAATAGATTGATGTTATAGAAACAAAATTGATTTCAAAAAGATACATTTTTAACATTTTCAACGCATTTATTAATGGTAAATTGTAAACTTCAAAAAATATAATTCTATTTCTTTTTTAAATCTATTGGTTAAAAGTTATAGGAAATAGTTAATTAAAAAAATAGTGTATTGGTAACTTAAAGTTGATAAATTTTCTTAATAGGTGTGGAAATGTTAAATCATGAAACATTTTGAAACAGGGAGAGTAATAATTATATATATAATAAGGGTATAATAATCTTTTACCTCCTAATGAATAATATATTTGTGAAAATATCTCTTTAATGAAGATAAAGATGAAAATTGTTACCAATAATGTGGTAAATATGAAAAGAAAAACATGAAAATTTTCCTTAATTTTTTATGTTTGCGCTAACTCTAATTTGTGTCAGAGGATCAAGCCTAATGCTTTGTAATTGTCTGCTAGAAAAAAAAAGATTTTCAACAATAAACTTAAACTTCCAAGAAACATAATCCTATGATGATAATTTTGATCAATAATTTGTTGAAAATTATATTCGCTAGATAATAATTTTATATTTATTTCTAGAAGACACTTTGAATATATGAGAAATCTCCATAGCTTAGCTTAGCTAGCAATTCAACATTCATTAAAACTTGAGATATTCTTTGTTCAAAAAAAAATTAGAAGAATTCTCTTTATACCTAGTGTTTATATCCTAATATGAAATTATAATTTAACATTAAATTAAAATTAAAATATGATCATTAATTCGCTTACAGTAAAATCTGTAAGTGACTTAACAAGTGCATTGCAGCCCTAAAACATGTTAGAATAAATAGTTAGTTGTGACTTGTGAACTACATAAAGAGTCATCGCATAATTGATGGAAAACAGACAAATGTGCTCCTTTCTAATGTATGATCCACAGAAATTGAAGGAGAATTGCAAATCGGTTAATGGCCTAATTAACTCGTGACGCCATCTGGATAGTATTTATACGTTAAAAGACAAATCAGATATCGACAACATTTCGGTGTGAGAAGGTGTTACATATAATCCAAAATTGGTTACTAGAAAATGGTTAAGGTCATCTAGAAACTGCATGCGTATGCATTTCGGCGCCGTAACCAAATTCAGCGCGATGTTATCTCATTGATCTCATGCATTGAAATTAAAGATTTTTTCTTACAACAATTAAAGATTTATTTGGATGTCCCATTAGTATTTTATCTCGTCTAACTTCATTATATGCAGCACTAGCTGCACTACCCCATAACAATGTCGGCATGTACCAAGATAACAATTAAAACTCTGAACCGAAAAGATGACAAAAAACATTTCATTCTAAAAAGTAACTAATTTAATAAAATTACATGGTATGTTTATATGGAATCAAGTGGTTGATGTCGAGTTTTGTCATAATTGATCAACTGGGAGATGTATTTTTTTCCGTTTACTTACCACGAAATTATGTTGAACTTTGATCAATGAAACATTACACTAATTAATGAAACTCTATATAGTGATAAATTAATATGTATACTTGTACGTCAAGAAGATACTGATATATTTTGTTACTATTAATGAATTCATACATAAAGTATTTAACTGTTTCTTCCTCAAATTTATTTTCCCCTCAAATTTGCATCTGCTCTTCTCCGTATTTAATTGTGTTTTCACCGAAAGTTACCTAATGTTAGTTTAAACAGTTTTAAGAAAGTCAATTGTACAAGCATTGATTACGAAAAACCTCGACAGTTAACGATTGAAAACAAATGATAATATGTTGAATTTATGTTCTTCTATATCATAAGGGCATCTCCAACCCAACTCTATTTTTTACTCTAAAATGGAGTAAAAGGGAATATGGAGTAGAAAACACTCCAACCCTACTCAATTTCCCACTCCATAATAGAGTTTACTCCATAAATGGAGTAATCTGTTTTTTGTTTGTTCATCACTCTATTATGGAGTGGAAAATGGAGTGGGGTTGGAGCATTTTTACTCCATATTCTC